AAATATATTTATCGCACTTACATTCAGCGACGAACATCTATAGCAAATATAGTTACTTGTTTCACTGCGTGTATTTTGCATATTAATTTTTCCACAAATTGTATTTTACTGTTCCAGTTACGACAATCTCAGGATTATTGTTCGGATACTGAGTGCTTCAGTGTGTCGAGATGTAGGTATTCACTATTTGCTACTAAATACTTCTAATTAATATTTAATATTTAATATACTGTTCGAATTGTTTCCTACAGTCAGTTTCATCAACAACCAATTAAGTTTAACTTTAGTTTAAGTCCGTTTTCTTTGCAAAACTGAAAACAAACAAAAGTTTAATAATTTAAGATACGTGAATTATGTGTTAGATATAATACTAAATTACAATTAGTTATTAAAAAAGAAAAAGTAAATGTTTCTCTTTTTTTAGTTCCAGGGCCGCAGACGAATGTTCGGGAATGTTCAGACTTCCTCTTTATTTGCTTAATTATTGGCTTCATCGCTCTTCTGTACGCATTTAGACCGAGATCTTTACGATATTCGACCAGAAATGTTATCAACAAGAGCAGCAATGAGCCCGTGAGTGTGCGTCGATTGTGCATTATTGATGGAAACTTGAAGACGTATTTTGAGCATACTTTATTTGCAGGGTTCACATGGGGACGGTCCGCCTTCGCCGATGATGAATTAAAGTGTAGTGCAACATTGTGAAGGTTCTTGTTATTCAAGGTTTTATATATCAGGATCTGTATTAAATTTATAACAGAAACAGGAGACGGTATGATATATAGATGATATTAATAAATCTAATGTACGCACGTTAGCGAGTTATAATCATTTGATTTTTGGAAACTTAACTTCTTTACACGTTGGTAATCTCAATTTTATACAATTTTCTTCGCGCTTATGCGTCTTTCTCTTTAAACTCTTTTTCTCTAATAATCTCGTGCCGAGATTATATGTATAAGCACGATATAAAATAATTTTATCTCGACTTTTTGAAAGACTTTTTAAAGTTTAATTGTTATATCTAACATGAGATCTCTAGCGTTCTTAGGTACTAAATTTAATTTCCGCGGCTCACATTTAGATGACGCTAGTAAGTGTAATTTAATTTGACATCTGAAGCTGGCTGCATTTTAGAGGTTAGACATTTGTCAATAAAATTCAATGTGAAAAGATTCATTTAAGTGAACAGTGTCATTTTTTTTATTATTAAACATGGAACATGATAAATTGATTTTTCGACATATACTTCATTACTTTGATTTCAAAAAAACTGCAGCTGCAGCTCATAAATTAAAACTTGTCGAAACTTATGACAATTATGTTCCAACGGAAAGAACATGCTAAGAATGATTTCAACGATTTAAGAATGATGATTATGATATGAATGATAAACAACGCTCAGATCAACCGAAAAAATTTGAAAACACCGAATTGCAAGCATTATTGAAAAACTCAGCTCAAACGCTCCAAGAATTGTCTGCAGCATTAAATATTACTCCGCTGTTTTCCAAATGTCTATATGCAATGAGAGAAATTCAAAAGGAAGGAAAATAGGTACCGTTAAGGAAACACTGATGCAGCTCGAGTGGGAAATTCTCCCGCACCCTGTATTCATCAGACTTAGTTCCTTCAGACTATTACTTGTTCCGATCGATGCAGCACGACTTGATGGATACACACTTCAGAAATTACGAGGATGTGCGAAAATAAAACGATTGCTTCAAAAGATCATTCTATCGTCACGGAATTCATTTATTACCACAAAGATGGAAAAAATATATAGCTAGCGAGGACAAATACTTTGATCGATGTATTTTTTGTTTTTGATATCGAGATAAATGAATTTTTTTAAGCAAAAAAACCGTGGAAACTAAGTACCTTTAGTACCTAATAACATGTTTGTTTCTTGAAAGAGGATAACGTGAAATTATAATTAATAAAAATAACAAAAAACTCGCTCACGCGCAATAATAATAATGTATTATACGCGAATATAATTTAAAATTTGTAGTATGAAAACGATAAAAAAATTAAATACCTGCGAACGAATAGTCATATAATGAAATTATTTACTTCAAAAATATTTATATTCAAAAATAATTACAAAAATTGATAAAATCATAAAACCTAATTTGGTATATAAAGAAAATCTCTCATGTATAAATATCGAATATACAATTATATATCTGTTATAAATGTTCCAATAGCAAAATAATATAGATAATTGAGAATTTCAAATCTTGTCAAGAAACAGTATTTATACATTTGTTTTGTAATGCCCGATTGTAAAAAAGTAAACGATTAGAAATACATCTTTTTTCCGTGCAATAAAATTGATAAACATTTAAAAATTAATTTTGTTATCCACATAAAAAAGAAAGAACATAGTTTTGTGTAATGTAATATAATAGTTTTGTATAATATATTTAGACACAAATATACACATATACATTCATGCACACGCACGCACACACAAACAACACATATACTCACATTATTAAAATAAAATGAAGATATTTTATCACATCTCAAATGTTTTACACAAATTAAAAGTTACAAATTTAAAGATATTGTACAAATAAAAAAAAGATTATACAAATAACATTACATACAAATAATGTTAGCAGTATTACATTATTTCCCTGTAAGGAATATAGAGGGATCTATGATAAAATATTTTACATTAATAACAATGCTTGACGTTGTACATTCCCATATTGTCGATAATAAAACTGATTCTCCGCATTGTATAAAATGGCTTTTTATTATGTTATTATAAATAATTGTCAATATAAGATTCTGTAAAAAAATAACATGGGACATATGTTTATGTAAAGGAATCCGTTTCGATTTATATAATTGATTATACATATTTTCATTACAAAATAATTTTATTTTAGATAAAAATGCTATAATTACATATAATTATTTTTGTACAATGTTAATATATTTAAACTTAGCTATTTACGTGTCATTTTATATTTATCATATTTCGAAAATTTCTTTTTTAAATAAAATGGGAATTGTACATCAGCACAAAATGAACATATCTATTTTTAGAAAAAATTGTAAATACTTGTATTTACAATTTGTAGAAATAATAACAGATGGATATTATATCTTTTTTACTAATAGAGAAAACTAAGATTAAATATATCGAAAGTTTTTATATTAACATACCGAAATTGGTACATTTGAGCGAATAAAAATTAAGCATCAATTTGAAACTTGGAATTCAATTCCAAATTTCTGAGTATCCTTGCTATATTATAATCAAATTTGACGGTTTGGATTTTATATATTTATCAATCTTCATTATCTTCAGTTTTTCGAAAATTATTTTCTTTTTTGTATAACTGTATGTATGTATACATATATATTTATGAAAAATAATCTTCGTGTGTGTGTGTGTGTGTGTGTGTGTGTGTGCGTGTGTGTGTGTGTGTGTGTATAAAGATTAATTTTACAAATCACACAGTTTAATATTTCATATTACCTCACATGTACAAAATATATTGCACAAAATAGAGCTTTCCTTAAGTAAAATTAATGGGCATATGTAGAAAACAGATTTGAAATACAAGAAAATACAAAAGTAAAATCACAATTTAAAATCACAATAACTGATGAAAACCTTGTATTCATGTTTTGTACTTTTGGAAGATGACATAGCATTTTATAGGATATCAGAGATCTGAAATATAAGAAAATACAGAAGTAAAATAAGCATCAGTTACTTATTTAGTAATAACCGTGTAATGAAAATCTTGTATCTATGTTTTTGTACTTTCAGAAGATGACAGCGATTTATATATCTATTACATATGTAATATTTACATATGTATGTATTTACACATAAAATATCTTTTATATTATATATATAAATATATATATAATTATACACACACACTATATACAAATATAGTAAATTGAATGAATTATGCTTAAATGTATAAATCATGCATTCAAGATTGAATACATCTTACATTCAAGAATGTAAGATGTTGTATACAATCTTATGAACTCATATCAAATTTATAGATTCATAACAAATTGTGAGAACGTTTGTAAACATTTATAAACGATTGATATTCTGTTCAACAGATATTTTACGTTCAATATAAATTTGTGATATGATATATTTCAATCTTTGTTAAAAAATTAGACATATCGTTTTCAATAGATTTCTGGCATTCTGATATTGAAATATATAACAGACTAGAATGTATGTACAAATGAAAGAGAATGTATTAAATTGAAGTTTCAGAGAAATGCTGATTCTTATTATATCAGTTAGTTAGTTAGTTATATATATATCAAAGATCTCACACTCATATATCACGTAGGCTGCACAATTAGAGACTAAGAAAAAACTTGAATAAGGAGGATATGGATCTTTTTTAATCTCTTCATAAGATTTTCAAGTTAAATCTAAATCATTAGAATTTCGAAAGAAATATTAGATAGAAAAGAAAAAATCAAAGAGTAATAATGCTTTTACAGTTTGAGAATAAATTCATTCTCTTAAGAAAACATACATGCCTAGAGGAAAAAAGTTTTACATAATCATAGAACATTTTTTTCTGACATATATATTTCAAAGATGTTATTCTAAAATTTTATATCAATCAAAAATTCGATAAGATTGAAAAACAGCACAGATTTTTTTGATCGAAATAATATTGTCTGAACAATAATTTCAGAAAAATATATTACAATAAGAAAGTTTCCTACATTACATTGAAAAAAAAAAGATTTTAGAGAAGATCAAAGAGAAATATAGAATAAAGAATCTCATTATATTAACCATGAATCACATTGAATTTTCATGTCATGATTTAGCCTGCAAACTACATGTTTGAGATCTTTGAGTAATGTTTATGAACACATCAATCTTATATTTATAGATACTCAAAAATATCTATTTACAATAAGATATCAATCAAAATATCTTCTTTCGTATTGAATTAGAAAAAAAAGTAAGAAAAATAATTTTTAAATCGTTATTTTCTCTTAATAATCTCAACTATTGCATATTTCATTGATTTTAATTAATTATTTAATAGTCTGTATTTATATATTAGCTCTTAATGAATCTATTCTTGTTGATGCAATCTTGCCATAGTGCTTCTAACTTTTTGCAATACTCCCGACATCTGTTCAAATTTACCCGTTGAGTCAGGTAAATTTTCGAAATTGATTACGTCAGAAATATCTTTGGAAAATTTTTCTGACGATGGTAATTTACTATAAGGAGAGGTACTTGGCAATATTGGTGTACCTAAATGTACCGACTTGACACTAGCTTGATTTGTATCTGAAGATCTGTGCGAAGTAGAACGAATTGGAGTAGAATCAAATTGAGACATTTTATCGGAAGCTAAGGTGTCCAATGTAATCATAGTATTGAAATCATTTTTAAGTGATATATCAGAACAGTACTGTAAATCCGACTTTACAGAATCTTGAACTGAAGATCTTCTCGAAGTACAAGGGGTAGTCGTAATACTGGAAAATGGCGTTTCCGATATAAACACAGTATTCGAATCGTTTTTAGTTAATATAAAATCAGAATTAGAATGCGAATTGACCTCTTCAATTTCCATAAGTAATACTTTTTTCGTTCTTTCTAATTCAGACAAGGATGGCGAATTTCTGTTCGAAGTAGTGTCGTCCTGAAAAGAAAATGCAATTTTGTAAACAAACTTTATCCAATATGTGCCAATTTTAATGAAACTTATTACTGAAAATACTTGCAAAATGATGAACAACGTTATCCTTTTTGGCAATCATCAATATGTTTAATAAGAAAAATTGGAATACATAGCAAGTAAGAAATAAAGATATATAAATTTATATGGAATTATTTAAAAGCACTTAAGATCCAATTTCAATCATTAATTCATACTTATTGTGTATTCGCATTATATAGTCTTAATATATCACTTATTAAAAATTATAATGTTTACGAAAACCTGAAAATCGAAAAAATATAAAACAATTATACTGTTCATATCATTTTGCAACACAAATGTTAGTAGTCATTTCCGATGTATTTTTATCTGTTGAACACAAATGCGTTGTCCAAATTTGGCCATCAGATAATAATAAAAAAATATATATATAAATTAAAAATACAAAAACGACAATTTTGAGAATTTTTATGACGAAGGATTTTATTGTTTAGCGTGGTATTAACTTTATTATCTATGCTACATAAATCTCAAATTGTCATTTTTGCATCTCTGATGCTTTTTTTTTAAATTACGACTTAATAGTAAATTTAAACAATGGATTCGTGTTTAGCAGGCAAAAATATAAATATATCGAGAATGACTATTCATATTCGCAAAATAAAATTGTACAATATAATTTTTTATATTATTTTCGATTTTCATTAGTTTTCCATAAACTTTTTGTATTAAATATTGATGATTGCCGATTAAATGATTATCGTTGTTTATTATTTTGCAAATAATTTTCTGGTAATAAAAGTTTCATCAAATCGGCGTGTAAATTGAATAGTATTCATTTAGTTGTAAGATGCTTATAGAATATAATTGAAAATATAGTTCTTTGAAGACACATACTGCAGAATCGGACGAAGGCAATTCTTGTGACTGCGAATCTGAATCATCTGTTTGAGGTAACTCTGGCGGCGGTGGTGGTGGTGGTGGTGGTGGTAGTGGTGGTGGTGGTGGTGGTGGTGGTACTTCCACTGATTCTTTCGGTAACGGTGGTACAAAATGCCCATTAACAGACAGATTCTCCACAATATTTTCTACTACAAGAAAATAAAAAGAAATTATCTTTTATTTTTATAAAAAATAAGAAAAAACCGAATTAAAATTATTAATAATATGAAATTAATGTTAAAATAATTCTTATATATATTCGCTTCTTGCGCGGTAATTATCTTTTTAAGTACAATTACAGTAAAGTGATAATATTCAATTAGAATATGATTAATAATTATACCTTCTGCATCTTCTATTTCCATATCACTGATTGTTGCTACATTTACATTAACTGGTGGAGGTAATTTCAGCTTTTTACGTTTGTAACCATCGTCTGTTTCTTTGCCTTGCAAATGTAATAACATTACCTGTTTACTATGTATAGATTGCATTTGCGGTACCCAATAGTTGTGGCTCTCCTACAATCGACAAATTTTAATGCTTACGATTTCGAATACAAAAACATTGTAAATTACGAGATAAGATCATTTTCATATATCAATTCTGATTATGCAGCTACACATTACTTACGTCTGAGATACCAGAAGGAGGTGGCACGTTAAAACCAGGAAAATCATATATTTTTTTAATGTCATATTGATCTTTATTTCTATCTATGATGATTTCACCTTCTTTATGTGTATCATTTTCCGCTATTCCATCAGAATTGAACAGCGATAAACCAGAATGTTGTAAACGTGCTTCTTCCAACCACCCTGGAGGGTAGCCAAGTAATCTCATTCTAAGAAAAAACGTTTTGGCACGTAGAATGAACCTCATTGGCTCATTGAATTGAGAAATATAAATCTTTTCTTTTATTTTAATTATAATACTTAATTTCATGTAAACTGTAAACGCATTTGCGTTTGCAAAAATTAGAGATCTCAAAAAAAATATTATATCGATTTAAAAATAGCAAACATGATATTAAAATTTTAAAAATTTATTACTGATAATAAAAATATATATACATAGACTTAAGTAATTATAAAGAAACATTTTTCCAAAATCCAATAGACTGCATAATTATGTCATACCTATATATGTGCCTAGGTAATTGATTGTCTTTCAATCCAAGAGCCTTTCGCAATTTTTGGCTTAATTGACCAGGAACCATATGACTAAATCTTTGGTCCTCACTCAAGTGATATCGGACTCCCATATTATGTTTTGAAGCAAACTCTTTACGTTTTTTATTAATATTGCTTTGATTTCTAGGCAATGGACAATCTCGCAAATTATGATTTCCATTACAATTAAAGCAACTTAATCTTGGCATGAAATCTTTTGGTGTCTCATGAACTGATTCTTCAAATGTATTTTCATATTTCTAATAAAACAATGTTGTTTAAAATATAGAAATAACAAATACGAAATAGGATAACATTTGCCGTAAGTTATAAAAAATATCACACAGAGAGCAATTGCAATATTCTCTAATGAGAATAAAACTTTATATAATAATTATAAAAATATATATATAGTTATATATGTATATATCTAATCTTGCCATAAATTCTGTCAGTAGTTTAAACAGATAGAGCAAAAAAAATAACAACAGATAGATCCAAAATTATATATATATTCTGAAAGTAGAGGAAAAAAGCTACAAAATCATCTATTTTTTTATTCGAAATGCCTTTTGTTCCGTATACATTTGCGTAACATTGAGGCCATTTATCGATCGATTTATGCACGATCTCCAGACGAATCTTCTCAGCTGCTGACATAACGGAACGCTTGAGCAACTTCAAGTTGCGATGAGACTTCTTGCAAGCCATCTCTTCCAAAATGCTTCACATTATAGCCTAGCAAATTAAGGTCCGGACTCCGAATTAATCGGCCCTTGAGATTGTTGTTAAGCCTCTTTGTCATACTTTGCTCGATGATCAGTTTTGACCTTCCAACAAGATTCAGACCCCGCACACAAGGTGAAAACGATGCAAGCTTGCCTGAACAATGTTCCAAACTTCATCAAAGTTTCTGAAAGTCCGGACCTTAATTCGCTAGACTATAAAACGTTTTGGAAGAGATACAAGCAGCCTCTTCCCAATTTGAAGTCGCTCAAACGATCGATTTTATCAACAGCTGAGAAAGTTTCTTTGGAGATCGTGCATAATTGATCGATGAATAGGCCCAACTTATTATTACGTTTGCAAACATATATGGAACAAAGGTAGGCGTTTTGTGGTCTATCTGTTGCTGTTTTTTTATTCTATCTGTTTAAACTATTGACAGAATTTATAGCAAAATTAGGTACAAGAATAAGAAAATTAGCTAATAAGAAGAGGCTACGAACTGTCTCATCAATTTTTATGAATTTATATGATATTCATATGTATATGTAATAATAAATAACAGAAAACACAATAAATAACAACACACACACACACACACACACACACACACACACACACAAAAAATATGAAACCTTTTTGTTTGTTTAAATATAAAAAAATAATTCTTGAGAAATAGAAACATAAATTAAGAAAGATATTTAATGTCTCTAAAACAATTTGTCTGCACTTGAAATGGAATAATATTATATCAGGAGGACCACTCAAGGAACACTCAACAAATTACTCATCAAATTTTATAGAATATAATAATGAACAGTTCATAACTTTTCCTTGTAAGGTAGATGAATAAAAAAAGAATACATTACCTGACCATAAGTCGGAATATCCATATCATTCTTTACATTCGGTTGTTTATCAATTGTAAATAAAAAATCAGATGTGTCACTGCATTGTATATCATCGTTTTCTACAAACTTTTTATCTTTGGAATCAACTCCATCATCCCAAATTTCTAAAGTCAGACTTGATTCATTTAAGTCTTTCTTACGACGAGGTTTTGAGCGCACTAAAGTATACAAGAAGTCTTTTATTTGTCGCCGATATCGCCTGCAAATACATGAAAATAAGAACTTAAATTCATAAAAAATTCAGTAATAACGAATATAATGATCTTAATTGCATATCCCTATGTTTAATGTTTAACAATACAACTATTCATGATTAACGTATATTTATTTTTTACTCTCACTCCCTGTAATTTGATATTAAAAAAAAGGAAAAACAAATTAATTTAATTCTTTACATATTACAACAATGAAAAATCTCAAAAAATATAAAAATAAAAATTATTAATTTAATAAATTAGGAACTAGTCATTTTGACTGCTCCAGTAAGTCTGATGTTAATATGCGAAATAAATCATTATATTTATTATATACTTAATTCACACACGTTTAATAATTCATATGCAAATTAAATAAATTAAATAAATTATATCTTATATTTCTTTACTAATGTTTATTGTATCAATATTAATGCTTAGTACGAAACATTGCCGGATCTCCTGATAAGTATATAGTATATTATTCTTTTTCTTCAAAACATATATAAGAAAATAATAATGCTTATAATAAAAGCAGTAACATTCCTATACGTCAGATATATCATTCTTGTAAAACCAGACGGAAACAAATTCCCGCGCGCGCATTGTAAACAAAGCGCTGGAACATACGACAAGACGCACCTTGAGATACTCTCGTCACGAAACATAACCTTAAAGACGGGTTGCGAGTTGTTGTCGTTCGACCGAACGAATTGCGAATCTCTCCGCGAATTGACTCTCGTTTCAATCGTTTCGATGTCGTCCGGAGTCGAGGCGTGACTGATGCTCTTCGTACTGTAGACCTGAACTTCATCGTCGAGACAGGAGATAACTTTCGTGTTGTAACTAGTATCCAGTTCGATCACCTCCGTCTCCGAGTCTTCGACAATCGACGAATCCAACGGAATCGTATCCATGCTTATATTAAACACGCGGACATCACTATCCATCATAGACGCGCGATGTAAAGAAGCTTCGAAGTTTTCGCGCTCGATCTGTTCTCAGGACGAGATGCGAGAATATGATCAACGCTACACACATACACACACATACATACACACACACACACACACACACACACACACACACACACGATTATATCGACGTGTATATGCGGTGCACTGTGCAGTAGTATGTATTGAAATATTGGACTGGTATTGGAATTTGGACGGAGCAGCCAAGCAGGACGGAGCAGTAATTGGTATTTAGCAGTTATAAATCCCCGCGCATGCGCAATGCGCGAGCTCAGATGCTACAATTTTGTTCATTTCTACCAATGTAGATTAACTTTAACTTAGTTCTACTTCACTTTTTATATTTTAGATTTTAAAAGTTTTTCAAAAATAATTAAACTAAGAACTTGAAAAGTGAAATCAAAAGAAAAATTGAAAATGAGTTGACAAAGAAAAACAAAAAATCTTCAAATTTTAATGAAAGGTTATATTGGGTGCATTCAGTACTACAACCGCTCACTGGGCATTCAATGAGCTCTTGTATCTGTTTGGTCTATACTTTTAAATCTAACGGAATATGCCAATCAGATGCAAAAGCTCACTGAGCGATTGTCGTTCTAAATGCACTCATTTGAAATGTTTTAGGAGCGCAAATGTGAATGTATAATTTACAAAATAAAATTAAAAAAAAAAAAATTAACAAAACGTATATCAATAAAAAATATGAAAAAAGATTATTGAAGTTTTTGAATTAATCTAAATATCCGCTATAAATCAATAACATTATATTAATAATAACTATTATATTAATTAAGAGATTCGAAAATATACATTTTCAAACTTGAAAATATGCACTCATGTTTAGAATGTTGATTGCGTATGTACATATATTTTAGAACGAGAGGAACGAGATGAAAATTACAAAAATGAATAAATTCATTAGATGTTGACCAAATAATGTAAATATAAATATTCTAATAAATTTATATTCATTTTTGTAATTTTCTTTTATTTCATTTTTAAGAAATATAGACCTTGATATATCATTTTAAAATGATACATAGATAATAAATAATTATCCTTGTTTAATATTTGTCGAACAAGGCTAAATAATTCGGAGGGACATTCAAGTAGGAAATTTAAACACAGTCCAAGAATTTACTTTAAATTTTATAGCCGGTATTCATAGTCGATTCTTATTTCAAGACTGTCTTAAGTAATGTCTTGAAATACTAATGCGATCTTCTGATTAGTTCATCTTAAGACTGAACTTAAGATGATCTTGAATATAAGACTATGAATACTGGCCTACAATGCGATATGAATACAATCGTTTTTTTTTTCCGAAGTATAATGTTATGCAATGTGAATTATGTAATTTTGTCTCGATTTATGATTATCGATTGCTCACGAAATCAGCGAAATGACAAATTAAGAAGTTTATTCTTTTATGAATATGGCGCAATGCCGTTCTTGAAACCACAGAGAGTCACGTGGTGCAAACAGCGAATAGAAGCTTGCAAACGAAATGGCTGGCGACACGCTATATACTTTCCCGAGACGAAACGTATTACTAAAGCACATTATACGGGCCAATGGAAAAACGATAAGAGAGAGGGTAAAGGCATAGGAGTCAACAGGTATCATGAAGGTCTGTTCTTTTTAGCTAAAGTTCTCTTTTTCTCTCCAACGTGAATAGAAAAGGAAGAAAGATGAACCAGCTAAAAAGAACAGGCCTTATGTTCGCTGGAAGTTTTTCTCATTTAACATGAATCGATAATATCAATTACGCTTCATCTAATGTTTCTGTATTACGAACAAAATACGTAAAAAATTATTATTATTAATATGATAATCGTAAGATTTTTTTACAAAAAGTATAATTTTTATAATAGAATGTAAGTTATCCTTTTTGTGATGAATTATACTCTTTTTCTATGGATCAATTACGTTTTAATTATCATTAATTAACATAAGGGATAGAAAAGAGAAATTAAGAAAAGTTATAAAAATAATCGAAGAATTATATAAATTTTGTATCTTAATAGTTCTCTTAATGTTGAGAATGTGTATTAATACACATTCTGAACATTAAAAGAATTATTCTATTAATGATTTAATTATTATATTAAGATTTTTTTATGTTAAATATACGATAAGAGCATAGAACGTTTACTTTGTATTTATCGATTTAACATCATAATTCTGACATCATAATTATTATCAAATATATAATGGCTGGCAAAAATTTCCGGTCATTATAATATAATTTTATTGTTATATATAGTATATATTTATTTTTCTTGTTATAATCAACTTCAAGAATTACGATATTTTGAATACTAATAGTAAAGATATCAAGTATTTATATATTAGTTTTTTATCCGAGCAATACAATAAAATTGGTAACTTATGGTAACCATTCTATGTTATACACTATTATATAATATCCTGCTTGCTCGCAAAATTACGTACATCCAAGCTGCCGATATTTCGTTCGCTATTTTGTTAGGAATCATTCCTTCGCAGTTATGGTTGGATATACGAAGGCGACTGGTATAACGACCTCAAACACGGTTACGGCGTCCTCAGCAAAATTACACAAGACGGCGAAGTGCGCAAGGTGTACGTCGGCAACTGGGCGAAGGGAAGGAAGCACGGATTCGGAAGTAATTGGTACAAGGACGGCAGCTATTATGAAGGCGCATTTCGAGATAACAAGCGGAATGGCTATGGCCGGATTTGGTACAAGTGCGGCAGCGGATATTACCAGGGCATGTGGCTGAATGATCGTTACCATGGAGAAGGGATACTCATTCAAGGTTGCGATTAATTAAGAAACAAAAAAGTAGATGTACATGTGAAATCTAGAACTGCTTCGCAGAATGAATCCGCTTAAAAGTCTTTCTCAATTTCTTTTTAATTACGTAATACATAGAACAAAAAGTAATACATTTTCCTTAGCTTGTGTTCGATTTTATTCTTTGCGTTTGCGAAAATTGTGAACTATAAATTATATTATTCCTCATTCAAGGCGCTTCATACTTATCTTCAAGAAATCCCCATAAATATTTATCTTAAAATCTTCATAGAAAACGGTAATCTTTACGAGGGTCACTTTACAAATGGCAAGAAGGAAGGTCGAGGTGTTTTCTACCATTTAAAGAGATGTCAAATACAGGAAGGTTGTTGGGAAAATGATGTCTGCGTGAACAGCACGATAGAAGACATCCGACAGCCAGCTTTATATCCGATATTGCACATTCCGAGGATAAACAGTCAAGCAGCAATATACTTATAAGTGCATTGCTCACGTTTTGTTTACATCTCTTCTCAGATCAATTTGAACATAATGATTTCACGTTTCAAAAGCCTTTCTTGCGTTCGCGGCAAATGGAAAATATAATACGTGTAATTTCTACGTACAATTTTTTTATTTTAGTAAAGAGAATTAATAAAGAGAATTCATTTTTAATTTTTATTTTGGCAATCAGCGCATTTCACGCAAAATGATGTATACAAATAATAATCGGATATATACATGATGTTCCACTCAACGTATCTCTTTCATCTTTGCAGAGTAAGCACAAATCCCCCTTCAAACCATACTTTTGTATGAAAAACCATATTTTTGATTCGATCTTATCCTACAAAAATGGTGGCACAAATGGCTTCAGGCTCAGAGTAATTGAATCGCCATCTGAAGATCCGGATTCTACGTGCTCTATATCTATATTTTTCGCGTCTGGATATCACCGTTCCATCTAGTTCCTGATTAAGAGACAATATTGCTCCATCCGATATAATCTGCTTAAGCAGAAATAATTAACACTTAAAAAAGACTTAAGGCCGTAGCGTTCTGACGAACTTCATCTCGAAGCTTTACTATTTTAAGCTGATTCGAGATAAAATTTGTGATATATATTAAATGTGTCCCTCGGAAGGAAAAACACTATTATCATTGCATGATACTATAGCTCTATATAGTGTGGACTGAAAAACTAAAAAGGAACTCAAAGAAGAACCCTGCAAAGATAGAGTGATCATATTGGGTGGGATATCTTCTATTATGTTCGTACAGCAGAAGTTTTCAGCAATATTGCTTGAACCTTACAATGTTGTTACAATGTTGCTAGAATGATCTGTGCTGTATGAACATTTTTGACTTTCATTCATCGAAATGTAATATCTCGAGTGATATCGTGTACTTACATCCGAATCGCCGCTTTTTGATATTTCATTCCTTATTTTTACGGCAGTCAAAATATTTGAATATAGTGTACACGAGAGTACACGTAATGTACTTGACGCGTTAAAAAATGATAAGCAAAACTGCTATCTATTTAAGAAAAAATATCGACTTTCGTGTGTCAGCGATGGCAGAACGTGTCGGATATAATATATTTGCATAGTATAACATCACAACACTTAATAAATATAAAATCGATCGCGTTTCTCAAATAAGCACATTTTTCGAAAGATAAGTACATTTGGGTACATAGCCAGTCATGTCATCTCTCGATAATTCAGACTATTATATTATCGTTTTTTGCACTGTATACGGCGATAACATGCGGAAGGTAATAGTCTTAACGTATACTATTCTTTCTACGTTTTAAGTTGCAACGCGAATGAAGGAATGTATTTTGTGCCTACATATACAACGTTATCGAACTTCGTATCCTTCCTGAAGTCAACACGATGCTTTTGTAACGCGCGCATCGTGCAGATGAGCGGAGTCTCATCACGTTTATACTAATTTACATCACAGAGAAACACGCGTATAAAAAAAAGAGGAGGAAGATCCTTATCTTTTGACCAAATCTTCGCAACATCTGTAGCGCGTGTGTGCCGAAAACAATGTGTGTGAAAAAAAATTGTCTGTCATGTTCTTCGAATGATTCACGTTCGAAAGATTTTCTTAGCAGAATCCTCCGAGAAATATCGTAAGCACTCGTCACAACACGTCTGTCTTAGAAAAGATCTCTGCCTCTTTGTCTCTATCTCTCTTTCTCGTGTTCCGGAGTGGAAATTCTTTTTTGTCGCGTTCGATTCGCGAGTCCAATTTCGGCGGCAGGAAAAATTGTGAAGATCAATTCATACGATATGTGTTACTCCGGTCTGCAAAAGATTTACGCCATTTCTGCCCTCCACATCCGTGGACTCGATCTGTTCCTTAAGTAACTCGAGTTCTCGTATACCGGATACCGTGACTTCGTACTTGTGCGCAACGAGACTCCGATAGAAATGTATCGCAAACGCAAGAAAGATTATCAGCACTGGTATCAACACTATACAGGCCGACCAGGCAGCGACCTGCGAAAAGTCATAGAACTTCACCCAGCAAAGTATCGCGATCTCCAGCAGAAACAGAAGGAGGCCTAGCAATGTGGAGAAGGCCCATGCGACTTCAATGTACCAATGTAGACGTTCATGTGGCGACTCGTGCACAAGGCTTATGCTATGCAGATTGCAGACGGCTTCGATATTCGGCAGTATACAAGTGGATATCATCAGCGCCAACATATGCACGGCTACGAGCAAGGTTGTGCACACGGCGAAGGCGATCAGCATTTCCGGTGGAACATGCGTTTCGGGATTCAGCTGCACCTCTACCATGGCGACCTGTGGACAATGACCGATCTTTGTCGAGTCTTAGAAATTATCTCAGCGCATTTATTGTCCGAACATTATCGAGAAACGTGAACTATCGTTAATCCTACGTTTCTCGCGTGGTTTATTTTTTAATGTAATTATTCGCGTGAAGTGTTTCTGACCCAACATTATATGTCAATTTTCATTATTCTCTTTAATGATTTACAAATTAAATAATGATTGATGTATTTCTTCAGATATAAATAAATGCAAAAATTTTAAATCGTGCAATAATTTGCGCCAAATATAATGATGTATAAAATATAATAATATATAAAAAGCATACATTTAGTAGTTTGATAAGCGATTTGATCCTGGACAAACTACACGAGAATAAAAGAAATAAATACCAAATAAATATCAAAAACGCATTCCACCAACTCGCTACATATTCGATTAGGAAGCAATAAAACAAATATATAAAATGAGGCTTGAAGGAATCTATCAGTGAAAAATAAAAAAAATCCCATCAGAGCCTAGCTGTTCGAATGCACAGAAAACTCTATATTTTCGTGTGAATGTAATAAAACGAATAACGTTTTGATTCTTCAATTCGAGTCCGATTTATATTTCAATTTATTTTTTTATATTGATAAGGATCCGAATTGAAGGGTCGAAATGTTTATTATTCGTTTTGTTACGTTCACACGAAATAAAGAGTTTTCTGTGTATCCGAATAGCTGATGTAGATTCTGATGGGCTTTTTTATATTCTTCAATAATCTTCTGAAATAATAAAATTAAAAAATATAAGATAAAACTGAGTTTCTTTCGAAAATATTTAAATATTTAACATTTAATATTTAAATACGTATTACAATACGTAATAACATTTTATATGCGCACGTGGGTATTTTTTATTTGCAGATATTCGTTAGAAAAATATTCGCGTTGAGTTAGTTCAAACAATACAAATCGCTTCCGGAATTATGCTCTTCAGTTCACAGAGATTTTTTTTCATTTCCGTGTAATTATTACAAAACGATGCAATCTATTATGGTTAGCTTGATTAATTAATCACGAAGGATGCGGATACGCGTCTCTATGAATATAGAGGGATCGTGATAAAAACTTATCGCACTGAATGGTCCGACGAAGGATCATTTCGTTTCCGGGAGCGACGTTTTCTTACCATAGCGAAACCGGAGAGCAGGGCTGATGTTTTACTGGACGCCTTGAGCTTCGCGCGGCTCAGCTGCAATTTTCTCCAGGACAAATAGCCCGGTGTGTGAAGGCCATCTCCCGCTTGCGACATCGTCGACTGTGACGAACAAAACGAAGGCAGAGATAACAAATTAGCTCAAACTGGATGGAAGGGCGCGCAATCGTAGGAAGAGATATGTGATCGCGTTCTCATTGTCTCACAGAGAGGCGAGGAGGAAGGGATACTATAAAGCGCCTGCAACATTCGACCTTGCGATTTCACGGGGGATAAACTCTTCGTTATAAGCTTCGGAAGCTTAAGCGCGAGTAAAAAAGAGAGGCACGTACCAGAAATCGATGGCAACGTCGGTGCCAATGGGAGAACTTGCCAAAAGTCCCGCAGTAGTAGGACAAAAAACCAATGGATGCTGAACGAAACAAATAATAAGGAAAATTAAATTAATGAAAAATGTAGAAACGAAAACGGTGGCTGATACGTTACGGCGAGATCTGACTGCGTCTTGCAGAAGGTCTGGCGAGCATGAGGACGAAGAAACAGTTCGCGCGCGCGCGCGCGCCCACACACGCACACACGCACGCACACGCACGCACACACGCACGCGCGCGCGCGCACACACACACACACACACACACACACACACACACACACATTTACATGCACACATATTATACATAGAAACATTGCGTGCGAGAGAGAGCATTTGCTGATGCATGCATTAACGAGAGACTTTACGTGACTCAATGTTTCACATATTCTTCGGGAAGATGTTACTCAATTTAATTTACAATCGCCAATCTTCTGATTGAGATTTCCGGTTGGGCATAAATGTTAGCGAGACGTTAAATAAAAGATAATGGAAAAGTATGATCCAAAATGCGCGAAAAAAATATACATAAAAAATAATTTGTATGAACGATATACATTCATCATTGTAAAATTGCGACATTTACAATTTGCATCTTGTGCAAAATGAGTGCTTTCGAAATATTTTTGAAATATTCTTTCAGCGTATGATCTTTACTTTCATGTTTCCAAACGATTTTTAACGATTGAATGTAATATTAATAAATATGATATCAAGAAATACCAGCTTATGATGTATGATTAAATAATATTGTTGTTTTTTTTATCTACGTCAAAATGTATCATTGCATCTTGATATGTCTTGAGAAATGACTGACAAGCGAAAAAGAAACACGTTGACACATGATACTATCTTTTGTTTGTTTAAAGCTAAGAAAGATATATGTATTCAATGTCAATCTGTTTAGTTCAACAACTCGATGTACACAGGCAAACAATTCCAAACATTTGCACTTACTCGCGAGTTGCACGCCAGACAACACGTATGTATACAATTAGAACTCTTTAAACTAAGAAAGACCTCTTTCTATCTCAAAAAGAGGCAATTTTTAAGATATTTTATGTCTCGATTTTGGATTTTGTGTTGTTGAAGATTGCTTCGACTTGTATATGTACATGTATATCACATTAATCAGATTATTCACATTTCTTCCGTCAATTTTTTTTTTCATGAACAATAAACAGGTAATAAACATGTGATCAGCACATAGCAAAACACACATTACGTATAAGTAAAAAAAAGAGGATGCATAATGAGAACGTCGCATATCTTGTATCATTATTTGCAGATACGTATGTTTATTTAATTTTATACTATTAATCGCAATAAGCTCATGATAATCGAACATGCAGTTCCCGAAGAAATAAATGCACATAAATTTTCTTGCCATAATAACGATTAATTAACTTAATTAAAATAATTAAAATAATTATCATTATTTGAAATTTACATCATACAATTGAATATACCAACATATTAGTAATATCAGAAATATATTTCATTCGATGAAAACAGTTTGCCATAAATTGCAAATACAAAGGCAATTCAGTCTTCGCAGCGTGCAAAGAAAAAAAAAGGGGAAGTACAATATTACGACGATATCGTTACGAACGACATCCGGATAATTATCAGTACGTAACACACATGCAAAGTGAAGAATTGAAGAATATGCGACTAATTGCGCGTTCAAAGTCAGATATAACAACGGTGTTCGAAAAAATAGCATATAATCCGTAATAGCGTTTTTCATTGGCAGAACTAGTGCGCACTTAGTGCACTTTAAGGCTGTACACAAATCGACATAAAGAGGTACGTTTAAAAATATAGAAACGGAAATATTAAACCGCGAAATATTCAATACATTTTATTGTGCTATTTGATAAAATACACATTGGATATTTTATCAATTAAGTCTCATTTTTACATTTAGATTAGAATAGTTACAATAGGTACAAGTTAATGGCGCACTAGTTTTGCCAATGAAAAACGCTAAGTGAAAAGAATCTTTAAAAAATCATTTGCAATTCATCATTAAAAAAGCATTTGTCATCCGTGAATGAGATTAATCCCAATGAAGCTGACTGATCGTATTGATGCTCAATCAATCAATCACATGATCCGAATTTGAAATATTATTTTAAAGAAATCTAAAATAATTTCGCTGGTAATTGTATACCAATGTCACCAATACTTTTGTTTTTATAAAACATTGTAAGCTTTAATATAACACAATATTGTAAGCTTTAATTATATCGGTACGTATATTGAACGTTGAATGTTGTGAAAAAAAATTTTGGCATTTGTAATTATAATTACTTGCTACTACAATTATGATTATTATTGTTATAATATTAATAATAATAATTATATATTATATTTATATATTATAATTATATATTATATATTGTTGTTTCAAAAAAATATTTAACTAAGTAATTGCAATTATTTTATGGTAATAATAACTATATCCAAATAATATGCATGTTGCCTGCGATCTAAAAGATATGTTAAAATTAGATATCTTAACAAGATATATTAGATATCTTAACAAGATATGTTAGATATCTTATGCAACATAAATGTTATCTGGATAATTATAGTCATTTTTAGGTGTCAACAAAATACATTGTTAATACATATTGAATGAGAACTATACATATAGTTATTATTGCTAACACTATAGCAATAATAATCATATTATGTAAGATACAATTATAGTTACAATTCTCCTCTCAGTGAAAATTAATATACCGACATTAGTATTATTACTGACTAATTAATTAAAAAATTAATTAAATTCATTATCATATAAAATCGAATATTGTTTACACCGTTTTCCTATTTTAAAGTAGCGTTAAAGGTATTATTACGAATAAAACAGATCGAAGAAAACAGATCTATTACGGACTCAATGAAAACAGTTCTATGTGCTAAAATCATGAGAAATCTAATGTATATTGATCCTACTACGATCTTACTATCGAACATTTCGATTTTCCGTAATGCACCGGAAAATACTTTAATAACAGACTACAATTTTTTAAACATAAAAAATGTGCATTATATGTACATAAATTAGAAAATTGAGCTAATCTTAATTTTTCTCAACTCTTATTTTTTTAATTACGCAATAATTAGATTTGATAAAAACTTATACGATTTAATAACGTTATTTTACGTAATAATGAAAGATAAAAAAAATAATTGAATATTTTTATGTAAGCAAAATAGGTTCATTGATTAAAAAAAATAACAAACTTAATAATTCTATTAAATCTTAATAATTTCCATCAATACGCGAATATTGTGAGAAATGCATTACATGTTTCAAAGTAGAATTCTCCAGAAATAGAAACGACTGTTGTTTATTACGTAGAGTAAATTGGAGAATTCGATAACAAAAGAGAAGAATTAATAATTATTTAAAACTTAATAATCATTTCATTCGCATCTCTTTTATTATCGATTTCTTTAACTTTGTACAATAAACAAATAATTCTAATTTAGGAGAATTTTACTTTTACATAAAATGCGTAATTTCTCAATATCGCATATATTGATAGAAATAAATATAAATTGAAATAACAAGTAAAATAATTGTAAATAATTATTTTAAAAAAGTAAATACTTCATATAATCACTATACAGAAATAGAAAATATTTTATTTGAATGTTGTGAACATGAAATAAACATTCACTATTTATATCGTAAATATTTATATCTCACACATATAGATACTATTATATATATATATATATA